CCCCAAAACCCCAAAACCCCATCATGTAAGATTCTGATTAATTTAGAATTATTAGTAAAGATAAAGATTAATATTTATTTCAGGAATGAAAGCTTTATAAAAAGAATAGTAATATACCAATAATGAAAGTAGTCAAAAGGGATTTAAGATGGGAACTATTGATAAATTCATGTAATAAGTATAAGAGTGAGTTCAATCAAAGTTTAAGCAATAGGAAGTTGAAAAGAGGAGACAAGAATAGCTAATGAAACATCAAATAAAGTGAAAAATGCAGAAAAAAGAAGCGATTCTTTCAGAAAGTGAATACAAATAATATCTGTCTAATGAATTTTCAGACTCTAGCATAAATTAAATTGACAGCACCAAAAAGAATTCCTTCGGTAAAAATAGAAGGCATAGCACAAAGAAAAGCTAGACTATCAATGGTATAAAGAATGTTGAAAGCAACCTCAAATAAGAGATTAAAAAAGAGTTTGAAAACAAGTTTGATTTAATGAGTTACAGCTGGATTTTGTTTTAACAAGGCAGGGATGTCTCTTAAATTCAAGGACTAGAGAGCAAGATTTAGTCATTAAATCCATATAATCAGCTTACTTAGTGGAAAAAAATTCTTAGCAAAGGTAATGATGATGATCAGATGGATAAAAAAGAATCAATGCTAAACAGTAAGATCGTTCGTCCTAGACTTGAGGATGTGAAGAGTAAACTGCAAAGCATCAGGAAAAAACGGGCTACATCTGTCGTCAGAAATAGAAACAATCACACATACACATCATAGCACATGAATGATCCTTAATTCAAAGAGAAAATGTCCATTATTTAGTTTGCAATGGATAAAATTCAATAGGAAGACAAACTTCAGAAACTCTCATAATTTTAAAAGAATAAAATGCTACTAAAATATCTTTAACTTACGGAAAGTTTGGTACCTCATTGTAAAGTTGCTGTGAAAAAATTTGATAATCCATAAGCATCTAAATCTAACAGTCCAAGACCCTAAAATTAGCAAGTTAAATAGTAAAATAGTACAAAGCCTATTTCATAGTTAGCAAAATCTAATGATCCCTCTTCATAACAATAGAGTATAAAAGTCATAAAGTTTTCTAAAAATAATACTGAGTATCACGGAAAATCTTTTGGCTCTTTTAATTAGTCAAATGCTTATTTTGACAAAGGTGAAGAGACGAATGACGAGGAGTAAAAGCCTTTGAGACTGTAACTTAATCCAGTTCGAACTTCAAGGAAGATTAATGATGAATTTAGGATGAGCTTCGGTGATAAACCTCAGGCTTCATAAATTATTTCTCAAGCCTAGAGAAGACAAAAAAGTGAATCAAAGCTAAAGTAGATTAATCATCTATAATAGTCAAATGAAGGAGCTGCGATCCTTGAAGATTAACATAATGAGCATTAGGAGGATGAAGCAGCTGATATGATAAGTCTTTTTCCTGCCAATCATATTTATAACAAAGAGTCAGCATTAGTGTCAAACCAATAATCAAAAAATGTATTATTTACAGACATGAAACATTCAGCTCCAGAAGCATAGCTTCTAAAGGCTTATAAATATTCCAATCTTGATAAGGGATTTTAGACTTAAACGGTTTCAAGTAAACCTTGATCAAAGAGTGTAATTGCGATGAATAAGCAAAGAATGAGCAATACTTAGAGATAAGGAGGATTCGGCACTTTCATTGAGGTTGCCAATTAAAGTAGCAAGCAAAATTAAAAAAGGGACAATTTTAATGCATCTTTAAATAAGATCAAAGATTTTTGCACTTCAGAACTGACTGATCAAAATCAAAATCTAATTATAAAGAAAAAGTAAAATGAAAAGAATAGCATTAACAGCTACATGCAGTCATATTAAGTTGCTGACGGTATATTTGAATAAACAATGAGAAAAGAAAACTAAAAATACGTAAGACTACAAAATTTATTAGGTATAAATAATGAAGATACCGGATAGCTTTTTGAAAATTTTGAGCCATCAACAAACATCATTCAAGTCAATAACAATGAATTAAGTCATAAAATTGATAATTCCAAAGAGGCAAGAAAGAGTAGGCTTAAAAATATTATGTTGCTTTCATCCCATGGAAAGAGAAAGACAACTATCAATAATAATAAAGATTTTTCCCCATTAATCAGGCTCACTCCCTAATAAGAAGAGAATTTGCAGATATATCATTCATTTTAGATTCCTGCTACTGCTAATAATCATAAGTCCAGAACACCTTTTGAGCAATAAAATCATTTAAATTAACAGCCTTTATAGCAAAATACAACCTAAATAAGATTTGAAACTTCACCTTATATGACTTAGACTTTTAGGAGAGAAGCCTAGACTCAAGGTTCACAGATTAGAATCACAGGCAAGACTCAAAATCTAACTGAATTTCCTTCACCTTCCACATATGATTATAAAAATATGAGTAAATCATCAAAACTGAATAGAAATTCATTCTACGACCATAGAGCAGAATAAGAACTTAAAAAGTAAATGAATTTGGAAAATTTGGCTAATTAAACTATGTAAAATTTGGACAAAGCGCTTTCATTTTTTGAAGAACACGTACAGACAAAGGAGCAACAGACTAAGAGAACAATCAGAGAATAGGCAGATAGATTGAGAAATATCACCAAGATGCAAAAGAAGAGGGTCAGAACACAATAAGAAATCAGTTATTTTTGAATAGAAAACCCTTAAAATAAAGATTTAATTTTATTTCAAATTTTTAATCAAATTTTAACAATATTTACGATTTTTAATTATCAATAATTTCTTTCCTTGCTTCTAAGATTTTTTTCAAGAGTCAGAATCTTCGTCATCGTATTCATCTTCATCCTCTAACTGCAATTGATTGTTTTGATCTTGCATCATTTGCATTTATTACTACATCTATATGTATTATTGCTGCTATTAAGGAGTCAACATTTGAAATTAAGGATTTTAAGCAAGCAAAAGTTGCTACTATTACTGCTAAATTAGCTATTATTACTGAAGATAGGCTTATTGCTGCTAATATGGGCTTAATTATACATGATTTTACTGTTGCTATTGCTAGTTATGATTTGTATTGTTATTAAATTGTTATTAATTTGGATGATTTTGCCTTTATTGTTATTGTTGAAGCTATTGTTGGTAAACTAAGAAACCTGGAACCTATCCTTGCTTATTTTATTATATTTACTAACTAACTTTTTGCTAAGGCATTCCTCCTTATAATTAAACCTAATTTTGCATTAAATTCTCACTCTTCTTTGTTTTTAGCATATTTCTCATTCCCATGACTCCATCATTTGGCATATTATCAGCAAAGGTTTACTTTTCCATGTCCTGCCTGCTTCTTTTTTTCGGATTAAATGGTTCATTTCTCATCTATACATCTTCATTATTTGTATCACCGTTTTCTACTTATTTCTTTTTATTCTTTTGCTTGTTTAGATTAGCCTTATGATTAAGCAGGATCTATTGATTTTTCATTTATTGCTGAGTATTTTCGTCAGCATTAATTTTAAATTCAAACTCATCAACTAACTTTTTCATTTCAGGCTTAGGAAATTTCTTTGCTTAAGCTACTATATTCAAAAAGTACTCTTTAACTTCGAAACTTTAGTTCAATCGCTCTTTGTAGTTATCATATTAATCAGATAATTTCAAGAATATTTTCTCACTATACTTCATTTAAGATAGGCAAAACGCAGTATTTCTCCATTCAATTGGACTTGTCGAGTTTTTAAGTTTTTAACATAACTTTTCTACTATCGACTCAGTCTGTCTGTCTTTATCAATATGTGATAAGAGATTCTTAGCAATGTTTTCAAACTCATCTTTTCTAAGATCTTGATATTCTTTTGATAGTCTACTTATCGCTTTAGGAAATAAGTTGTAAATGACTTGATTTGCTTTTGTGTGGAGTTCATGTAGGAATAACTTAACCTGATCTTTTATTCTATCATCTGGATCCTCTAATAACATGCAAATATCAACAATTTCTCCCTTTAATTTAAGCATATCATTCAAAATTAGATGAGTAATTACCATTAGAGCTTGTCTTCTAACATATATATCATTGTCTCTAAGTAGATTGAAAATATCTTTTGTTTTTTCATTCAAAATATTGGGGAATCTATTGAATAAATCTCCGATACTGATAATGATATTGGCTTTAACTCCATAATCGATTTTCGAGTTGAGGATTTTAAATAACAAATCTATATTTTCAGAACAGAGCTTTGAAGAAACACACATATATTTACAAAGACTTAATATTGCAGATCTCTCTAGCATGCATATCTGAGGTACTTTCTTTGCATCGGGTTAATCATACTTTTAAAGTGCAAGAGTCGATATATTAATTATTGGAGGCAGAAATTTTCCTAGCATACCATTTTATATAAGAGACTCTTCTGTAATCTTTTGAAGTATCAATGAATATTATTCGATTTCAGCTTCTTAGCCCCCACTTATTTAATCTAGTTCATCTTCTTGTTTATTTTCTTCATCAAAAAATTGACTATTTTTTCCTTAATTTTTTTATTGATAACTGTCAGAGACGCATCTTTTCAGTTCACAATCAATTTACTCAATATATGTAAGCATTTTAATAGCTACATGACCAACAACGAAGAAAATTTAAGCATAGTGTAAGTCTGTAATATCATTTCTGAGTGTTTGTAAATTATTTGCAGAAATAGGTTCATTATCCATTTAACTGTCTTTTATTTCTTCTTCTATTAGAGATTGATCCATATGATGCTTTTCTTTTGTATATAATTTTCTGGTTAAAGCTTGAATTAAAAATTTGGCATAGTCAGGAGAATTTCTGGCTTTAATGTTAAATAAAGTATTTAGAATTTGCTCGGCTGCGCAAAACCATTCTTGATCCTCTGTTCCAAATGTATTAATAATTACTCCAAATAGCTTGAATAAATAGCTTTTATCTTTATCTTCCAACTATTTTGGCTATTCTTTTTTATTTTTCTTTCTACTTGAGCCATCAGTCATTTAGAAAATTATAATTTTCTCATATATCAACAATGCTTCTTTCAATATAATAAAATCAGGTTTCTCAAATTTAGCAAACTTCTCTGAGTACTCAAATAGATTGTCCTTTTATGATATTAAAATATCGATTTTTGATGACCCTAGCATTCTCAACAACTATATTGAAGCCCTTTATTCTTCTTTAGACTATATTCTTTACTTTTGCTAAAGTTCTGGTGAAATATGAGGTTATTTGGTCAAAGCCTTACTTGGATGTGTGTAGTAACGCCAAAGTGTGTTATAAATCTCTTTTTCAAATATTTCTTAGGTAACACACTTTTTCATTAACTCCTCAACACATGTTAAATCAGTTAAATTAGCATTGATAACTAAACTCAAGAGATTTTTCGTTTTTTCCTAAACTTAGTAGCTTTGATCAAAATAGATCAGTCTATAGCATTCAAAAACAGCCTGCTGCACACTCTAATCTTTTGAAAATATCAATGTTAGCATTCTCTTAATACCATTAATAGAACTTTTGATACCAAATTAATAAAGCAGCCTAAATACTTTGATTGTTTCTATTGTATCTTGTATTGTCTTGCTTGAAAGTAACAGTGTCAGAAATTAAATTGATTCATCCACGCTTTTAATAAATTCTTCATACTCTTGCAAACTTTTGTAAATATATTCAGTTTATTGGTAAAGTTCAAAAGTATCTTTTAATCTTTTTGCTATAGTCATGTATTCAGGACTACTTTGTAAAGCAAGCTAGGCTGAAGCTTCATCCTAAATATTCAACTATTCTATGATTTTTCTTTTTGCTCTCTGTTCTTCTTTTTCGATTTCTTGGCATTATATTTACACTTTTTATCTATCCTATACAATCTCTTCTTTTTACGATATGATATCCTTGATCTCTAGAAATTTGTCCCCTTTTTTCAAATCAACATTGAATATCATGCCATAGATAACTATAATTTAGCCGAAGAGCTTTAATGCATTTTTCCTTACATGAGTTGTTTAGTCTTTTAATCTACCTTAAACACATTTCAATAAGTCAAAGTATTTAAATCTAGGTACTACATTTGACTCAGTTAATCTTTTAAACACTTTAATGACTTTAGCTCTACAATAAGCTGACTTGTCACAAAATCTCCTTAAGAGTAAATTCAAAAAATTATCTTTGGCTTTATTGAACATAATCTAAGCATTCTAATCACAACTGTCAGTTGTTAAGACTAGCTGAATGATATTAGCTAAAATTTTTATAATTGCTTATCTAAGAAGGTAAGATTCACAATCAAAGAAACTTAATAGTGAACTTATATTCTAGTAAATCACTCTTGGTGATAACTTTGAGAGTTTTTTTAAAAATATACTCACATTTTTGATTCCTATTGTCTCATGAGAACTATCATTGTTAAAGATCTAATTTGTTAACTCTCTTATAATATCACACGGCATTTAAGGTCCTTATTTTTCAGCAACTAGAGCTACGAATTCTGCCATATAAGGTGCAAGATTTTCTTAAGTATAAAGTAAATCAATAATCTTAGATGAGTTTTAACTTTGCATATATTTGACCTCATTAGCGAATTTTTAGATACATCTCTGCATCATCATAAAAAGTAAATCCTTAATATCTTATATCTTTGTATTATTTGGGTTTTCTAATAATTCAAAGCCAGTTTTCAAAAATACTTTGGCAAAATCCTCTTCAATTTTTTACTAATACCAAAGGAATTGAATCTCTTAATCTAGGATATCATTTAATTATTATAAAGCTTGAGTGGACAATAATTGAATTTCATTATTTAATGTCTGGATCTTTTCTAATTAATTTATATTCCTTGTATTTTTCTAGATAATTTAATTCTAGATACCTTTTTTCTTGGATTTTTGCTGATTTTCTTTTGTTTCTTTTAATCTACTATTGTCTTAAAGGAACCAAGTTATGAGGTAAACATAAGCTTTCAAGCTGTTTCTATAGATATTTATATCATACTATCTATCGTTAGAAGGACCACTTGGTCTTTTCATTTCCATTTCCTCCTATTGTAATATCTCATTAGCATATAAGCTTTTAAGTAAAGCTTTCAAGCCTTTCACAAGCATCTCTATGACTTCCTTTCGAACAGATGTTGGTGTTGTTTCAAGATAGAATATGATAGAGTATAGTAAGTCAAAGTTGTCATTATCCATTATATATTGCCATTTTTTAGCATCCTTCTTGCCAAACTTATTTGCACAGCTTAAATTCCCACTAACTTCTTCAAGATTTTTGAGTAATTGCTCTTCAGCCCAGTCACTTACAAATTTCCTGGTCTTCACATAAAATCTGTATGAGTCAGATGTTTCCTCACATAGTTATTCCCTACTAATGGGATATTTAAATTCTACACTATTTTCAAATCCTCTTAACATTCTAATGATTTAATTTAATAAATTTGTTGTTTTAAATTATTATATTTTCTCCCTCTGATCTGAGGATATTACTCACTAAGGGGTTTTGGGGTTTTGGGG